CCGGGGAAGGGGGGGGTTGCTGGCGTGTCTCGGAAGTTTTTTCAGGGGAACGGTAAGGAAAAGAATAAAAACCAAACGTTTTAACTTTTAAGTCATAGTTAATTGTGCGAGGTGTTTCGGGCAAGAATTAGTCACTTGGAAAAGCGAGGAGAGAATCCCTTGTGATGTGGCTATGATCCTCTAAACTTACTCCGGGTTACTTTAATACAAGTTTGTGTGTTGTGTTTCCCAGGTGATGCAGAGGTGAAATGATGCATTGTTAGGGTTTTGCTCGATAAGGTATCTCCTTAACGTCTTGTGTCAGTGTTCTGTAATTCAGAGGTCTTTAGCTCTGTTCTACAAAGCTGAGTGAAAATAGCTGGATACAAAAATTTAGATTCCGGAGATATTAATAACCAAAGCTTAAAATAAAACTCTGTCGTTGTAATTCTGCCAGCACCGTAACTGATGTTTAACTTCTGTGGGGATTCATTTGCTTCTTAAGGACGTTGTAGCTGGAGAGTAGGCATGTTCTCTTTGCCTCCTTGTACGTGCGTTGGAAACTGTGTTACTCTGGATTTCCATATACAAGTGTGGGTGTTTTCCAGTTTTATTGCTGGGAAAGTAGAGTAGCATCTGCTTTCTCCTTATCTGGGGTATTCTTGGTAAGATCAAATTTTGAATGGGAAGATGCTGGTTCCAAGGCTTGATGCTTCTCTGTGAGGAAGAACTGGTTGTTCCTGTTGCCCAGTCTCCCAGCTCTGTATTTTAAGAATTTCCCTTCACTGCTGCTTTTTAGAGCCTAAGAAATGGGTCTGTGTTTTCCTCGTTTAGAGATCTGTTTTGCCGTGATTTTGAAGGAGTTTCTGCAGTTGGACTCTTTCTACCTGCTTTTTTCACAACTATATTTTTTTCTCTGCTTGATGAAGTTGATAGAAATCAAGATGCTAGTTGCAGAGCTTTGGGGCAAGAGCTCTGGCCAAGGGAATGGGATGGGAAAGAGCTGCTGGTAAAGAAAGAATTTTCTTGTTTCTGAAAAATGCTAGAATTGATTTATGTAGCCATTTGTAGAGGAAACAATGAGCTTGGAGGATCTAATCCTTAAAAGCATAATAGAAAGAGGCTTTTTAAAAAATGTTGTGTTAGAACCCTTTTTTTGTAGTAGCAGAATTTGTGATACTGTTCTAATTGTGTTCTTTTCTTGTAGCTTGGGAGCAGTGGTGCTTTTTACTCAAACCTGTGAGCCTCTGAGGCAAAAAAAAGAGGCTACAGCCCAAGTTAGCACAGCTTCCCTACTCACTGTTTAGGCTGAGATTCTTCAGCTGACCATTTGATAAGAAAAGGGACTTTGGTTGCAGTATCAGCTTGTGGAGTTACTCAGCCATTCGTTCAGACACTGCAACTCCTTGGCCCACTTTGCCTCTTCTTTTTTTGGAGAAGCAGACTGGGAATGGATGTAGGGTTTTTGTTCTCCCTTGTTCTTACTATTTTAAAAGTAAAGTAAGGGTGGTGGATTTACAGGGTTCACATCTCAAGAGTTGCCTCAGCACAGGTGAAGAGGTGATGTGGGGTAGGAACTAATATCCCAGGCAGTAACTTCTTAAACTGGCGTGTTATTGAAGGCATGGTGTCATGGAGCTATAACCCTGCTCAGGCTTATCCAACTTCAGAGGATTCTTTTAAGTGTTGAAAGCAAACTGCAGTGAAAGTGTAACCCTAAATTGGAGAGTTTAGTGTTTTGATCTGTCATGCAAATCACAACCTGTGACAGAGATAGTTTAGTTCACTTGGCCCTGTTATTAATTAATAGCAATAATTACATAAAGCAAGTGTGTATTTTTATACGTATACATAGTATCATACTTTAAAGTAAAAAGCCATTTTCCCTGTTTTAATGATTTGTTAGCCTCAGTCTAAACTTCAAGACAATTAACTATAGTAAATGTAGAATGTGCGTACAAAGTAGTTTCTTCTCTGAACTTCTGTAGAAAATACAGAATTCACCAAGTAATGAAAACTAATAATTTTTTTTACTCTGCATTTCCGTATGGTACTGTAGTGAGTAGTAAGTGAGCAAGCTCAAACTGGAGTGTTTTCCATTATTTAGGAAATGGAATTAAAAAAAAAAAAAGTAATCCCAAAATTCTATTGTAAAAGGAAGTGACAAGCAAAGAAAATGAAGATTTAAGTTAATGGTTCATTTTGTTATCTGAACTGTCCGCCACACAGCACCTTTAGTGGACCTGTAATCCTCTAGTACTTCTTCTTCATGCAAATACTTTCCTCCTATTGGTGACTAGAGGATCAGTTGCGCTGAGTTGAGCTGTTCTAATGATTTTTAGCAGATAACACGGTGGTCCTACTTTCTTCTCCGTCATGTCCTCCCTTCTCCCGTCCTTGGTTTCTGCTCTGTTGGATTTCACGCTCATCTTCAAAGCTTCCTTCATGGGCTGATTCAACTTGTTATATAAGAAGGAAACTCTTCCCTTTTTTGGTTGTGGTGTTCTTCAGGTTGGTTTTGCAGGTTGAGTCAAAGGTTGAGCCCTTGCGCTCTGGTGCCCTGGCGGGCCACAGACGTGCAAGGAAAACAGTGGGAACGGATAGCCAGGACCAGAGGGGTGAGTAGAAGAGGGAAAAGCTGCTGCATCCATTCAGTGGCAATCAGGTGTCCATATGCTTCAGTCCTCTCTAACTGTACCCTAAGTATCGGAAAGATTTCTTTTGATTTACTTTTTTTGGCCAGTTACTTTGGGAAATTTCATATTCTTACATCATTTTAGGTTAATAGGAACATTTAGTGTAATAAAACATTGAGAAGGCTTTTGAATGTGATTTTTCGAGAAACCCAACAATTTGTTGAAATCATAAAGTTGCAAAAACACCTTTGTGCTGTTTGTTAATAAAATCTGTTAACTTTGGGGTGGTTTTGTTTGCTTGTTTTTAGATTGTCTTGATATTTGTCAGACAAAGCAATTCTTCCCTTGAGAAAACATTTGTAACCGAGAACAATGACTGCTGCAGAGAACGTGTGTTACACGTTAATCAATGTTCCAATGGATTCGGAGCCACCTTCTGAAATCAGCTTAAAAAATGACCTAGGCAAGTAATGAGCTATGATTTGAAGGTTACTCAGTCATACCCGAGTTATGTTCACTTTCTCTCATTATACGTTTCCTAGAATACTGTTCATATTGTATAAAAATCAAACTGACTTGCTGGAGTTTACTTTGTTGACTTCTGAAATGTATAAATTCCTCTCTTCACTGTGCTTTGAGAAATACGTCGTGGTATTTATCTACATACTGTGTGACTTCCTCCCCCTACCCCGCTCTGTGCAAAAATTCAA